GGCAGGGTCACCCACTTGGGGACAGGGTCACCCGCTCCGGGGCAGGGTCACCCGCTCCGGGGCAGGGTCACCCACTTGGGGACAGGGTCACCCGCTCTGGGGCAGGGTCACCCACTCAGGGCAGGGTCACCCACTCGGGGGCAGGTGGCCGTAGCCCCCCTGTGCCCGGCTCTGACCCCACCCCCAGTGCCTGGCACGGCCACAGCTAAAAGCTTTACCCTCTGAATATTTCATGGGCTCGCACGGCCCCGGATCCCGGCACTGCCGAGAGCCTTTGCCTGGATTTACAGGAAAAAACAAGCGGAGGGAAAGCTGTTGGCCCTGGGCCGCCCCCAGGCCGGCTCGCAGCTGTGGTGGGCTCGCTGCCCACCCCACCCCCTGGCCAGGAAAACGGGCACGGGGCCCGGAGAGCCGGGTGGGATGGGGGCAAGGCTGCAGCTGGTGGAAGGGCTGACAGGGTTTGGAGTGGGGGGAGCCCCTGGAAGCCTCCCACGGGATGTTCCAGCAGGGATGGGGATGCTGAGTGCACCCTGCTGTGGTCCTGGCAGCGCCAGGGAAGTGCCAGCTGCGTGCTGCAGGGACCAGGAGGGAGGTCCTGGGCTCTCGGGATGCCCTTGGGCTGTGCTGGGTGATCCTGGTGGGATCCCGACCCTGGGGCAGAGCCCTGGGACCTCTGGGCACAGTGCAGTCCTTCCCAGCTCTTCCTGAGGGTGTGGGGTCCCTGCTGAGGTTCCTGGTGTCCCTGGGTGGTGGGTGACAGCTTTGTCCGTGTCTCACAGGTCACACCAGCCGCATCCTCAAAGCTCTGCTGGGGACCAGCATCCTCTTCCTCCTCGCCCACCTGGTTTTCCAGATATGCCTGTACACGCTGCCCGTCCTGGACCAGCTGCTGGGCCCCAGCTGTGAGTAGGGGGTGCCCGTGCCCACCCTCACCCACAGCTCCCTGTGCTGCCCTGGGGCTGCACCCCGAGCTGCTGACGTGTGGGACCCGTCCTGCCCGTGCTGGGGGGCTGCTGAGGCTCTGCAGGGTCCCAGCCACGTGCCAGCCCTGGGGACATCCTGTGCCATGCCCACCCTGCGCTCCCATGGATGGGAATGTTCTCCCCGTGGTGGGGGTGCTCGGGTGTGGGGTCTGCCCCACTCAGTGCCCCTCTCCTTCCCACAGGCAGCTCCTGGGAGGTCCTTGCTCGCCACATTGGGGTCACCAGGTAAGGGCCCCCTGAGCTGTGGGGCTGGGGGCTGCCAGTGGCTGTGGGGTCACCCCTGAGCCCTCCCCTGCCCCGCTCTCCCCCCCAGGCTGGACTGGCGTGACATTCCCAACTCGGTGCGGCTCGTGGCACCCGACGTTGGCATCCTGCTGGTCTCGTCCCTGTCCTTGTGCCTGTGCTGCCGCCTCGGCCCTGCCGCCTCCAGACGGAATCCCGAGCTCCTGGAGTCCTCTGAGGGGGTGAGAGGTGTCCCAGCTGCCATGGGGACATCCCTGTCTGTGGCTGGTCCCTGTCCCTTCCCTGGGCACAGCCTGGGGCTTGC